TACAGGAGTTGAATGCTCCAGTACACTTTTTATTTAAAGAGTAGGAATGGATTTTGGAGATGGAGTGCAACTTTTTGAGGCAACAGACCTGACAGTGGGAGCTCTATGAAGCTAACAAAGATTGAAGCCATTGTTAGGACCTTATGGACACTCTGCTTGATTTAGCTGAGCCAATTGACCATTGTAAAGCCCATGGGTATCTTGTGTTCATGACTGATACTGGGATAGAGGAAAACCAAATGCATCTACTCCCTAGCTTTGAATTTACATGGACACTTTAAGGGAGATAAAGGAATCTACTAGAAAAGGGCATGGAAATTTTGGTGCCAGGTTGACTTGGATTCGAATTCCAGTTCCATCTCTTCATCATTCCTACTTATACTTTGCGTAAGTAATTTCTTACTAAGTTATCTTTCTTGCATCTGTAAAATGGGGATTTACTATGGGATTTAAATAAATGACATAAATAGAGCACCTCTATGCTTGGCACGTCACAGACACACATTAAATGAGAATGCTTTCCTTCCAGTTTCTCTGCCTTTTTTTTTTTTTTTTTTTTTTTTTTTTTTTTAAGTGAGGGAACTCCTCTTTGGAAGCTCAAATTGGGAGGTCTATTTTGTTATCCATCTTATGGAGGAGGATAAGTGATACTTGTCTGTTTTCTTTGAGCTGATGGTTAAGTTCCTCTGAATTCTAATCAAATAAAAAACTAGTGAACCAGACACAATGGAAGAAAAACAGGACACAGGGAAAAAAATGGTTCTTTGCAACAAAGGAAGATAGGAGTGTTCATTCTCCAATATCCCTGTTTTAAAATCCCAGCTCCAAGTACTTGCTTTGTTAACTTTTACTTTTGTAGCATAATCCTGAGACCTTCAGTACCCATGCTGTCCCCTTACAAGCAGCTGCTATGTGCCCCAGTATTGAGCAAGGAAACCATTCCTAACCACCCTGCCCACCACTGGGCAAACACCTTCTACCTAAACTTGCATCTGAAAGGAAACATGAAAAAAAAAAAAAAAAGGTTTAGAAGAAAACACAGAGAGAGTTCTTTTTTCCCCTACTCTTTGGGGGTCATGCAGATAAATTACTTTCTGTAAGTCATTAAAGAAACACAAGCTATGCTAAGATCCTCTTGTGTTTATGCAGCGTGGGGAACTCAAGTAACAGATGTATTGGTTAATGTTAAGTTCATGCTTTCTCCATAATGGTAGTAAAATTCAAGGTAAAAATGAGCAATAATCCCAAGAGAAGATTATGAGAAAAAGGATCTGAAAGAACAGATCAGTTATCTATAGGTTATAGGAAAAAAACTCCTATATTTATTGGGCAATATTTAATATTTGCTTTAAAAAAAGATAATGCCATTTCACCATCATTCCAGAACTGAGTTGTTTTCCAGGATAATGCCATTTCACCATGATTCCAGAACTGAGTTGTTTTCCAGCCAACCTCTCCAAACATGTATTATTTCTTAACACATCTTTGAAACCATCAGGACTTACTTGATGATGCTCTCTGGGATATGGATGCACTCCATTGNATCTTTGAAACCATCAGGACTTACTTGATGATGCTCTCTGGGATATGGATGCACTCCATTGGGATCAGACTACTGAGTTCTGATAAGCTACTGACATATTTAATTTTACTGCTGAATTTTGAACTAAAAAAAAGAAAATATATATCATTAGTCTCTATTTCATTCCTTCTAAGGCCATTGCCTCTTCTTGAAAATCCTGAAAAACCTTGCCCCAGCACTCTTACTAAAAAAGGCTAACATTATTTGAGTCATTATGATGTGACAGATACTGTTTTTGTTGTTGTTATTGTCTTAATTTATTTTTCTAAAATTGACAAAATTATATATATTTATTGTGTACGACATGTTTTGAAACATTTATACATTGCAGAATGGCTAAACTAAGCTAATTAACATATGCATTACCTCATATATTTATTTTTGTGATGCAAAACTTAAAATCTATTCTCTTAGCAATTTCCAAGAATACAATACATTCAAGGCTATTAACTATAGTAACCATGTTGTACAACAGATCTCTTGAACTTATTTCTCCTATCTAATGGAAATTTTGTATTCTCTGGCCAACTCTACCCAATGCCCACCCCCAGCCCCTGATAACCACCATTCTA